CGATTAAAACGCCTAGAACATCACTTTTCGATTATCTTTTTCGATCGCGGACATTTATACAGCGTCACTCGTGGCTGTAAATCTAAAATGGCTCTCGGGTACTGTACCGTAACGCTTCACTTCACGGTGGTTGCGATCTTTTCTCATCACCATCACGGTATTCCGCATTCTTTCGACGCGAGTTTTCTTTCGAAAATCGACGAAAACCGCGAAATCGATCGTTTGATGATGAAGAAAGTTCGAAAGAAAGAAAGAAAGGGAGAGAAAGAGAACGAGCGAGCGAGCGAGCGAGCGAGCGAACGAGAGAGAGCGAGAGAGAGCTAGAGAGGGAGAGAGAGAGAGAGAGAAAGAATGTGAGTGAAGAAAAGGAATGGGATTCTAGCGCCGCCAAATGAACGATCGTCGCAGTTCCAGATACGAGTTTTCGAGTGTTCAAAGGTCCATCGGCATCGAGTACACCGACGACAATTTCTAGCACAACGTCCAATCGTTCGTTGAACCGTGTTCATTGTTCGTTTTCGTTTGATGAAAAAAAAAAAAAAAAACAAAACAAAATCCTTTGATTTCCATTCGTACCGGCGTACGTATTCGTTCAATCGCCGGATACGTGCATTCGCGCGCGCGTGCATCATCCAATGTAATCTTCTTATCCTCACGTATCTTCTGTATCATCTGTCCCCTCGCTACTTTCGCTTATATGTATACATACATACATACATACACATACACACATACATACATACATACATACATACATACATACAAACATAAATACACATACACATACACATACACGCATACGTACATACCACAGACATGTAAACGTCCGTTTTCTCGCTGCACGCGCGACGTCAAATCGAGCAACAAAAAAAAAAAGAAACACGAGAGAAAAGCGAAAAAAAGAAAGAGAAGAAAAAAAAGAAAAGGAAAAGGGAAACGAACGAGAGGCGCGTTTTCGTTAGTCACATTCGCGAGTGCTCGCTATTTCACCTCCATTTTTCACCGTTTTATTGATTGACCTATGCTTTCTCGCGAATCTTTCCCCCCCTCCCCCTCCCCTCCCCCCACGAGAACTTCAAGACGTACTAGCCTATAGGACAAATTGTAGACAAATTTATTATCAAATAAAAATGAAAAAATAAAGCGACGTTTGAAAGGAAAAAAAAAAAAAAGAAAGTCTGTGTCTGTGTGGGATATATCTCTCTACGTTCATTCCAATCCCTTCTAGAAAAAAAAAAAAAATATCGTAAATATTGCGCGATACGATGCGCGAGCGTAAAACAAAATAATGACGCGTAAGTACGTACGTAAATTCGTACATATTACAACATTCATAGTGACGATACGATACGGCACGAGCGCACGTGTAATCGATATCGATCGAGTAAAAGTTCGATTTATTACACGATATATTATATATATATATACACACATACGTTCAATCGTAAGAATCGTAAGAATTGGAAGAAAACACGGGAGTAAACGACTTCGTCCCGTCGCATTAACACGTTTTTTTTTTTAAAAAAAAGTGTTATAAAAGTATCATATATATATATATCATCGTGTAACAAAATAATAATATATTACGTATATCTATATATATATATATATATATATATAGATATCACATAGTTTATAACGTTCAAATTTAATAAATGCAAACGTTATTTTAGAAATCTATCTTGGTCATGATACTTCCATCGGTGACGAAAATACGGGACAGCCTATTAAACGTTATATTGCGACGCGTCGCGAGGTTCGACGATCCCCGCAATTTGTCTCGCGGTACGCGATAAAATCGTCCAACCTAACCCCGATGATCTCTTTTTTTCTCTTTCTCTCTTTTTCTCTCTCTCTTTCTCTCTCTCTCTTTCTCAGACGGAATTTCCAAGAAACCGACGAGGTACGACATTACTATTACATCGGTATTGGCCAAGGCAATAAGATCATTGCCAATTCACGGCGAAATCAGGCCGTGGTAGAGAAGCGGGCCGCGCTTAGTGCACGCATATTTTCGTGGGCGGGAGAAGAGGCGCGGAATCTCGATGTTTGCCGGTGGCGATTCGTGGCAAGGCGCGCGCGCGTGTGCCTCCGCGTTATTAAACGCGCGCGCGTACGGGAACGTTTGCGCAACGCGTCTACGCCGCTGATTACCGGGAATTACCGCAATTTCCATGATTTCTCTCGATACCTCGATGCGTCGGCCGCATCGAAAAATCTGCGTGGACTCGACGCGAGTATTCGAGCGATTCGAGGGAAGCGCCTTCGATCCTCGAAGGGCGCCGCTGCGAAACGAGGGGGGGAACGCGAGAGGAAAACCCCCACGGGCTGCGCGGGGAAGGGGGAGCGAGGATTTAACCAGCGAGGTGAAGGCAGACGCGAGGCAGACGAAGCCTCGGTTCTCGCGTATTCCGGGAGAGGAATACGGCGGTCAGGTGAACCAGGAACGGGCCCGTTCCCTTGTATAGCTGGTCGATGAAATAATACGATCGGTATCATTATGCGCGCATTTATTTCCAGTGTCCCGGCCACGTCCAATCCTGGATCGTGATCCATGCGAATGGATCCATTATCTCAACAGCGTGACAAGGCTGTGGGCAGTCTGCTAATGCGGCAAGGGACGGATGTGACGTAATCTGAGGTCACCCACGCAAACGGCGCGCGGCCGTGCCGGTGTGTAGTTTCGACGTCGCATCGCCCTCGTCCTCGTCGTCGTCGTCTTCTTTTTCTTCGCACCATCGAGATTCGATCCGTCGATGCAGACTCGATCTTTCGATCCTTCGATCCTTTCGACTTTTTTCGCCCCGATTCGCCGATTCTTCGCATTCGTTCCGAATCGATCGTCGTGTTACGACACGACGGGATATCATTATTCCACTTTTACTACTTTTTCTACGAGAATACGATGTCTCGACCGAGAGGATGTGACTCGATTCGATAATCGATGGATCACCCTTTGCTCATCCCGCTTCGTACGACTCGAATCGTATCGCGCGGAATGAATTTGCGACGAGAGAGAGAGAAAGAGAGAGAGAGAGATAAACGAGAGCCGACGACGAACGTGAAACAATGTTAAAAATCCAGAGGCGGAAGTCGGCGTCTTCGTTGCTCTCGTAATTACGCTACGTGGGCGAATAAATAAAAGGGATCGCCGTTGCGAACGGGTATCTCGGTTACACACGCCGTCGCAAACCACTACGTTTCTCAGATCCCAGAGAATCCCGAAGACTTCCTCGATCGAAAAATTTCTCTCTCTCTCTCTCTCTCTCTCTCTCGCAAAGTAATCATTTCCAAAATATAGCCACGGCCGAATCTCGCCTCTGGGAGATTCTCTCCAGGTTTTTTCGCGCTAGATGGGTGTGTCGAGGGGGCGAGGCGGCGGGTGGCGGAAAAAACAGGCTGTTGTTCCTTTCCTCGTCGTTAGAACGTAAAAGAGAAACCGCGAGCGTAGGAATCGCGTGGTACCTAC